CTTATGGTACTTATTAAGAACCAAGGGAGCAGCGATTGGTGGCGGCACCCAGATGGGGTGCCAGGCTGTCCGCCACAGTATACATTTATTCCACTGACATTCATTTTTAGATATTTTTAAAAATAATTTTATCTTTGTTTATATAAATACATTTTTTGAGAACATCCTTTTTTAAGTTCTGCATCCAGTTATTGGGAAGATTGTGATGTAGGAATAAGTGGCATCCTTGAACCTTTTGTACAGTGCCCGTTGACTTGACTGTGTAAGTGTAACCTTACAACATTTCTACGTTATATTTAAGGCTGGGCCTGAAGTAGTGGGAGGGGCTTGGATCCCCTCTAAAAGGGCTGCCAATCCTCTCCCACTTTACCGTTGTTGGTCTGGTGAGTTGAAGGGGCTACTTCTGGTCAAGTCGCCATTTTGCTGTCTCTTACCTGTTTTTCCTTGTGGTCCTGGTTCCTGCTCCTGTTTCTGTACTACTTACCTGACTACTCACCAAATGCTACAAGCCTGCTGCCTCCTCCGGGTTGCTTGCAGACCGGTCTAGGTGCGGCTAATTTTTCAGCCATAAATCAGACCCTTACCGCAAGGGTCATCGCGTTTTGGGTCTATTCCTTTTTCTTATTCATTCGTATTGTTTCTAGGCGTTTCGGCACTATTCATACAATTAGTTTACTCCTATATGTACGGGTTTCGTTTCTTTCGTTCGGCTCCTTTCACTACGTTTGCACGCTTAATTGTTCACCATGATTCATATGAACCTTTCCAGTAATTTTGTTGTGAAACATGCGGATGACTAGTTAAAGGCATAGACTGTTCGCATGATTCTTCCCTATTGACAGGTGCTACTAATTTCTCTGTTACACAAATTAAGACGAATTGTATGTTTACCTGTCACTTTGTGTTCACGGTGCCCCCTACTGCTTACAAATGATATTATGGGTCTACAAATATTGGTATTTGATTATTGCTATTTTTAGTTTGGTTATTTATGGTATATCATTCTGCCATTGAGCTGACATTTTATGTCATCGTGATGTTCTTCCCACAGGTGTGTTTCGGAAGATTAGTCAGAGAAATTGTTCCTGCTCTGACAAACTTTTTAGGTTGGTAATTTGGTTGAAGTTTGGCTTATTTAAATATTCCCTTCTGATTTTACATTAACATCTTAATTTCCTCTAGGTGCCTTGGTCAGACCAGACTAGGTTCTTCTATTTGTATCAGCTTCTGCTAATTTTCACTCCTTGCAGCTAGGTTTTTGGGTAGGTTCCTTTATTATTACTCGGGCCCACGATCTGGCCCACTCAAATATATACAGATATACTCAGATACTTTTTACATCTTATCTATAGGTTGCAGCACCTATCTTCTGCCACCCTCTTTTCCCTAATTCTGCAAGAATCATCATTTTCTGATTCTAACTATCTCAGGTACGACATTTACAACTCCTATACCTTACTCCTGTTAACAGATAGTACTGGCTATAGGTGTCCAAATAGGTTATGTTTTTCTGGTCTTAAGCCATAGGCTAGTGGTCCAGTGAGGCCAATACCAATCCTCATACTCAGAGGTATACGCCCATCGGTCCAAAGCTTAGTTATTTGCTTTGCATGGTCGCATTGAGAGGGCCTCACATGTCACTCCCATACTATATTAAGCTTTAGTTATCACGAGAGGCCAAAACCCCGCCACACCATTCAGTAAACTCAAACTCCACTTGGGTCAAAGCATAGTTAGAGCCTCTCATGCCACTTGGCAACTAGTAGGGGCTCACCTGTCACCTTGTGGTAGTATAATTTTTAGGCGCTTAGCATATAGCTAGCCAGCCAGGACCAGGCCACATTGTCTCACGCATGGTAATTACAGTGTATGTATATATTTCCAGTATGTCTTAAGTCCCTGAAGTACCAGAAGAGCTGTCCCTTCCTAGCACCCCCGCTAGGTCCTGTACCCCTGCCCACGGAGCTGATGTGACTAGTCCATCTTCACTTAGATCATGGACTATTCAACGCCTCACAGCAGAGCTCCGTAGAAGATGTATTCCTTTTCCAGCTACTGCCAGGAAAGCAGAGTTATTCAGACTGCTCAATGCTAACACCGACAACTCAGATGCAGGGGAAGGACCTAGTGGGACTCAGATGCCAGTTCTTCATTCTATGATGACCTTGTTGATGTTGATGATCACATGGGTAGCGGCCACTTACCAATTTTTCTTCACCTGCATTCATGTTCTGGGTGTTACTAATATATCAGCTGATCACTTGTCTCGGTTTCGATTTCTGGCCTTCCTCCAGACTCTGCCCACCGCTTCGCAGCTGGCTACCCCTGCCCCTTCATTCTAAGACGTGCTCCTGGATTAGATGTCTTATTTACTCTTGCACGTAATCTTTCCCACCTTGCACTTTCAGTTAACTCTAGAAAAACCTATGATAGGGCCTTTTACATTTTCACTATGTTCATAGTGGAATTTCAAGTTCAGGATATATTTGTTTTGGAAACTATGTTGGGGTTCACTTCTTTTTGCCACCTTAAAGGACCACTTCAGCTCAATGAAGTGGTCTCGGTGCCAGGTCCCCCAGGTTTTAACACTGCAGCTGTAAACATAGCAATTTCAGAGATACTACTATGTTTACACTAGGGTTAATCCAGCCTCTAGTGGCTGTCTCACTGACAGCCGCTAGAGGCGCTTCCGTGCTTCTACAAAAATAAGGTATAAATGTTATACCGGACAAGTGGAGTGCTTTAGACGATGGAGGGGTTTACTCACCCCCTTTTAGTGCAGTGACAATCTTGAGAAACTTACATAGACATAAAAGGGGAACAAGAAAAACAAAAAAATATAGTGCAGACGGTTTATCCAGATAGACAATTGATGGTAATAAATTACTTAAACCACTCACATGGACAGGAGCCTATATTGTATTGGCTCCGTAAAAAAGGTCCTTTATGCTCCTTGGGCAGTATCCCTCCAGGAGTATACAATGAGAGAGAAAACAGAAAAGCAACTGTGTAGAA